CACAGATGGTTGTGAGCCACCATGTGGTTGCTGGGAATTGAACTCAGGACCTTTGGAAGAGCAGGCAATGCTCTTAACCTCTGAGCCATCTCTCCAGCCCTTAAATTTTTTTTTATAATCTATTTAACTTTATTTTCTGTACATTGGTGTGAAGGTGTCAGATCCCCTGGAACTGAGTTACAGACAGTTGTTAGCTGTCATGTGGGTGCTGGGAATTGAACCTGAGTTCTCTGGAAGAGCAGTTAGTGCTCTTAACCTCAGCGCCATCTCTCCAGCCTGTGACCCACCTTTTGAGAACTGCTAATTTAGACGAGCCTTGGCCTGTCCATCCCCGCAGGCCTACTAACTCACAACTCGGGGAGGAAAATGAAGCTCTGACTTTTCAGAGGTGCCCTGTTCCCGGACATCCCGAGGGCACATCCTCTCATCCCAGCTACTATGGGAAAGGAAAGTAGCAATCATAGGTTCAGTTGTAGCTACCTTGGCTACCAATAATTCCTGACATTGTACAGTTTATAATTAAGTTAACATAAAACTTCCTTACAAGCTGGGAGTGATGGCACATGCCTTCAACCCCAGCCTTGGGGAAGCAGAAGCAGGAGGATCTCTGTTCGTTTCAGGTCATCCAAGGTTATACGGTGAGACCCTGTCTTACAAACAAACAAAAACAAACTTCTCTAAAGTTTTAGAAACTTATACCCTCAATTCAGGAATCCAAATGCTATACTTCAATGACCTAAGAATACTTCCTAATTAAAAAGTACTGTAGGTTAATCCCAACACCTGGGAGGCAGAGGCAGGCCAAGTTCCAGGCCAGCCAGGGCTATTAAAAACAAAATTACTGGGGCTGGAGAGATGGCTCAGAGGTTAAGAGCATTGCCTGCTCTTCCAGAGGTCCTGAGTTCAATTCCCAGCAACCACATGGTGGCTCACAACCATCTGTAATGAGATCTGGTGCCCTCTTCTGGCCTGCAGGCATATACACAGAGAAAACATTGTATACATAATAAATATTAAAAAAATTACTATAGGAACTAAGATGTAGCTCAGTGACAAACCACTTGCTTAGCATGAGTGATGCTTTGTTAATAATTCTTAGCACCTAAAACAAAACAAATACAAAAAGTAACTATAGTCAAGTCTCCAAAATCATCAAATTACATGTTGGCTAATGTAGCTTTCTTAGTGTCAATCATACTGCAATAACGTAGTTTTAAGTAACATTGAGTGTAGTAGCACCTATCTGTAATCTCAGTATTTAGAAGGCTGAGGCAAGAGGATAAAGGATTTGAGGTCATGGTAACTGACCTACAGTTTCAGGTCAGCCTAGTATTTTAAGTCAGCCTGGGCAATGTAACAATGTAACAAGATCCTCTAAACATACAACCACCATATATACACACTGCTCTCCAGAGACACAAATACCAAGCCATCCAGGACAATCACTGGGATCTAAGCGGTATTTTCAGGGTCTAGGTGACGTCATCTGCTGCTCCATCAAGACCCACCTGGAGGAGGATCAAGCCTTAGACCAAACAGGAACTTCAGCTTCCCCCCCCCCCTTAATTCCCCACTGTCCTCTTTAGCCTTCAAAAGTTAGCAAAGCTTTTAACGCATCTCCTCAAGTGCAAGAAAATGGCAGCTTCCTCCCTCCTTCACAAGTCCTCAGGCTTTTAATAATGTGGTGTTTGCTACTTCTCCACATAGCAAACTACTGGTAGTTACCTAGATAAACCACGCGGTCTCGGAATCCACATAACCCTGCTCCCCAGCTTTGTTTTTGAAATCGGGTCTCATTATGTAGCCAAACGAGCCTTAAACCTAGGATTCTCCCACCTCTGCCATACTTTTTGGAATGCCCTTTCCACTCACTAACAACCTCCTCATCTCAGAGAGAGGTAACCTCTAGGTTCCTGGTGTCACTAAGTGCCAGGCAAGTCCGTCTCACACACACACCCCACCCCCACGCCTTTCAGCTGTATCCCAGAGAAGGAACCTGATGATCACAGTATGGATGAAGCCCCTTGGGTAGAGCAGGAAGCCAGCAGGGAAACCTGCTGTTCAAGGTAAGAGATTCCGTCCAGAACCAAGAAAATACATCAATCTCCTGCAACATGGGACTCTTAGGAAGTGAGGGGTTAAAAGTGGACAGTAGCTTTTACTTCTCTAGGCTTGTTATATCCAATCAATAGATGATTGGGAAGAGCCAGTTTCAGCCACAGCACTAAATCACCAAAGTGAACAGTATTAATCTGGATGATGATTCTTAGGGATTGTAAAAACTGACTGCCTGAGACCATGTGAACTAAAGGGGGACTAGCTTCCCCCAAGCAACCAAGGGAGGAGCTGAGTTTCTGGGCTACTGGTCAGAATGAAGCTGAGGGAAGGGATACCAGACAGACACAGCATACCAGGAGATCACCAGCCCTCAGTTCCCTTTTATTTAAAAACTTTCAATTATATTTAATTTTTTTTTTTTTTGTGGTGGAGAATGACTGCCAGGGTGCACACTTCCAGGAATCCATTCTCCTTCCACCGTGTGGACTCCAAGGACCAGGCTATCATCAGACTTGGTAGCAAACACCTTTACCCACCGAGCCATTTCACCAGTTCTATTTTATTCTTAAATACGAAATGCTTCGTGAATTTTCATTTCTTCTTTAACAAAGCCATGCTAACTACTCTGCTTTGTTCTAATTTTAGTGTATGTGTTACCAAAATGAGGACCTGCTGACCACCAAAAACCTGCTAAACACTAAATTCAAGTCCACATCCTTCTGCTGGAAGCACTCAGGACTCTGAACCTCCAAGGCTACAACACACCTCAAGGCCCATAGGAGGAAGAGTGGTGGCTCTAGACTTTGAATATCCTACCCTCTCTCCCAGAAAGGGAATTTTTAAAAGTAGCCAAGACACAGCTGAGCGGTGGTGCCACAAGCCTTTAATCCCAGCACTCGGGGTGCAGAGGCAGGAGGATCTCTGAGTTAGAGGCCAGCCTGGTCTACACAGTGAGGTCCAGGACATAAGGATCTACACAGAGAAACACTGTATTGAAAAACCAACCAACCAAACAAACAAAAGCAAAAGTAGCCACATGGTTAATTACCACCCACAACAGTGATCTGAGGATCTGTGCAGCCCCTGCTGAGGGTCAATCTTTCACCGGATGCAGGATTTGGGGTCATCCTTGCATAGCACTGCCCAATCCCAACTTCAGGACAAGGGTGAAAACAAGCTGAGATCACAGACACACCAGCAAACAACTCGCTCATCACTCCCCCAAATCTCAGGGAGGAGTCTAAAATTCGGGTAGATCAGAATGGGGTGAAGGACCCCAAAGCAAGGGGCCTGCAGACATTAAGGTCCAAAGAGGACAAAGCCAACAGAAACCAAAACCAGTTACGCTCCAGAGCTCCTAGCATCGTCTGAGTGAAGCGAATCGCTGCCTCTAATTCTCTGCCTCCGTGTGCCCAAAGCAGGATCCGAGAGTAGGTTATCAAGATGGCAGGTCACTAGTGCACTGAGGCTGGAAGCAAGCCCCTGCTGGCCCTGCCCAACAGTGGGCCACTGGCGGGCGACTCATAGCACAACCAGCAAGAAACATTAGGGCCTCTGCGGTTTCTACCCTTGACCAAAGGGAAGGGCGCTAGGGCTGGATAACTGACCCTTGGTTTCCTGGGTAAGAGCATGCCAGGGCGGGGCAGGAAGGGTCTCTCAGCCCTGGGGTGACACAGCACACGTCAAAGAAGCTGCCTAGGAGCCCAGAAGCCTGTTCCCTTTTCACTAATTCTGCTCGCCTGCCCTGCCTGGCTTCCATTCGCGGCTACCTTTCAAGTGTTTATCCCCCACGTGTGCGTCGTCCTCGCCAGTCCAGGCAACCGGCGGGCGCTGGGGGATCCTCGACGCGGTCTCCTAAGCCCTTCTTTCAGCCCAGGGCGGCTGGACACAGTGATGTCACCTCTCTTTGGAGGATCCCACCCAGGGCTGTGTGGGTCCGGCTTGGCTACTAGGTCAAAGGGCGAGAACAGGGAATTCTCAGTGTTTCCAAGTCCTCTCTTTTCTGACTGTAATTAATGAAATTGCCGGCTCATCTCGGTGGAAGCCTAAGCTCTGGGGCTGGGAGGGAAGCCCTCCCGCTCGGCCGCCCCCCGAGACTACGGCTCTCGAGAACCCAGGAGCGGGGCAGCTGGCCCGGGGTCAGGGTGGGAGAGTCGGAGGGTGAGCTTGCCTCCCGCGTGCCCACCTCGAGAATCCTTCCTCTGCTCCCTCCAGCCGGGGCGGGGGTCCAGGCCACCCACAAGGCGCTCCTCAGCCGCACACGCGCGCGAGTCGGACCCGGCGTGGGGAACGAAGGCAGCGGCCGTGGGCCCCGTGTGAGGCGCCGCAAGCCCACCACGGGGGACGCACGGAAGACGCGCACCCTCCTTAAGCCCTCCCGGGAGGGCGGGGAGACAATGCCGGTCCCGCCGGGCCAGTCCAGGCCGCACGCCCCCGCCGGCTGGCCACGGGCTGCTCCTCCCCGAGGCGAAGGGCAGCGGCGGGAAGGCGCCGGGAGCGGTGGGCCGCCCGACCTCGCGCCGCCTCTGGCCCCGCGCGCCCACCTCCGCGTGCAGCTCACGCGCGCCGAGTCCCGCGGCCGCACACCCACCTCCTCCTCCAGCGGGCCGCTGGGAGCCGTGCCGGTGCCCGCGCCGGTGCAGTGCTCGACGTCCGGCTTCGCGGTGCTCATGGTGAGGGGGGAACGCGGAGAGGGGAGCGGGACGCCCGGCCCCGAGGTGGGCAGGGGCGAGGCGAGCCGTGCGCCCCCGAAGAAGAGTGCGGGCTGGTGAGGAGACAGACCGGCGGCTGCCGCGTCAGGCTGAGGAGAAAGGGAGGGGGGGTCACATTAAGTTTGGCGGGTGCGGGAGGAGGCCGAAGGGGCCAGGCACCGGGAACCGGAGCGAAGCCCGAGCGGCCGCCGCCTCCGGCTTTTCAGTGCGGCCCGCGAGTGCGCCCGCGGCGGCAGCGGCGGGGGGCGGGCGCCGGGGGAGGGGGCGGGCGCCGGAACCGGCCTCAGCTGGGGCTCGGCCCGCCCCTCCCCCGCCCCGCGGTCTCCGGGGGAACGCGCAGCCAATCCCCGCAGCCCACTGCGGGCTCGCCCCGGCCCCGGCCGCGCCGCTCCGGCCTCTCCGCCTCGCTCAGCCCGGGCGTCGCCCCCCCCTCCTCTCTCCCGCACTCGGCTCTTAGTCCTCCCCCCCCCACACACACACACCCTCGCCATTCCCTTCTCCGAGACAAGTTTTTAAACTTTGATGAACTCTTTCAGAGAACTTTTCTTAAAGGAGCCGCATGGGTTTGGGTGGAACTTGAGGTGCCCCGCAGGCGCGTTGCATCCCCAGCCGGGGCGGCGGTGCTCCCGCTACCGTGCCCTGATGTGGGGTTGTAGACTGTCCTGAGCACTCGGTTCACCCCCAGATTCCTGGAGGCTCCCGCCCAGCGCTTTTCCTCGCGCGCTGCGGCTTGGGGGCCGGGTTCTCGGGGTGAAGGCGGGGAAGGGGGAGGGCGACAAACACCTGATCTTGAGCACGGCACCGAGTGGTTGTGCTGAGTGACCTTGAGGAAATCACTTCCCCTCTCTGGCCGGAGGCTTCCAACCCAGAGGGTGAGAATTACAGTACAAATTCTCCCCCCCCCCCAACTCAAAGAGGAATGTTAGGGAGCCTACTTTTTCCGCTACGAGAAGGGGTACCTCGAATGACCTAGAAGGTTCCGTTCGTTACCTCCCCCCACTTTTAAGATTCCTCACGGCTCGCTCTTTTTCCGCTCCAATTCCGAACCCCAGGGTGGGGGAGGGAAAAGCGGGCTGACGCCTAGGGCGGGGTCACCTAGACTCCCACCCCACGGTGGCCGGGGGCGCGGCCTTAGGGTCGGATTTTCCCCCTACCGTTTAAATGCTGACCAGGACGGTGTGCTGCTTGCAGCTTGTAAAACACGCCCCTGGCCCTGATTGCCCTACGGAGCCGACGGAGCATTGGGGTCCTTTTCTCCGCCCCCTCATCCTCTTTGAGCAGCAGCCATAGCTGAGAGGTGAGGGGTCCTGGCCCGGGTCAGGCGTCCCCGGGCGCGATCTGCTACCCCGACTTAATGCATGGAACTTGAGTCTTAGTATCGGTATTTGGGGCGAGAGGCCGCGCTTAGAGACGGTGGACGTGAAAAGCCTTGGTCTGCACCCCTGTACCAATTAGGAACCTTGACCTTGGGCAGTGGCTTAGTCCCTGAGAACTTCCCTGTGCCGACCTGCCTATAGCTCCGTCAAGCGTGAGAGCTGTTGTGGCCGACCTCCCTGATAACTTGTCGTCCTAATTTGTCATCTCACGGGTAAGTAAACTGAGGTTTTTGCCAGTGATATATTCACCCATTTGGGAAATATCGTTGAACCCCTACTGTGACCTGGGGGGGAGTGCGCTATACTTACTGTTGGCACAGAATTCCCACCACACCAACGCCTGGTTCAGGCCTGCTTTCTGTAGGAATCAGGTACTAACGATCCGAGGTTTATGCTACACTCTGCCAGAGCTTTCGTACTTCCAGCTTCCTGCATCTCCAGGTGATACCAATCTTGTGAAAACTCAGATACCTCTACCACATTTTCCGCTCCTGCAGACCATAAGACCCTTGAAGTCTTCCTTTGCCAAAGAGAAATTCCCCTTCCTCCCTTCCCTCAGTATCCTGTTGTAGCTTGGGCTTTTTCCAGAGGAGAAACCCAGTCAGTGTTCTAAACTTAGGTATCCTCTATAGGGTTGATTTGAAGTTTTCTAATAGAGAGGCTTCTTGTAGTTAAGGGCTCCATTTTATAGATGGGGAAGCTGAGGCCCATAGAAGTGGCAGATGAGGCAGGGGCCTCTGGAGCCCCATCTCTGCATTTTTCATGTTAGGAGCTGGTAATGTTTCTAAAAGTAATACTTCTTTTCTAGTGCTGTATGCACTTTGTAAATACTGAGAAATATGAAAAATGGAGAACAGCCCTGCTGTCTGATGCACGAGATTATTATATCCTTCTAGTCCATTCTCTATTCATACTTTAAAAACAAAAATTACACTCTGTTCTGAACATACACCTTTTTATTTTTTTATTTTCTTGGTTTTTCGAGACAGGGTTTCTCTGTAGTTTTGGTACCTGTCCTGGAACTAGCTCTTGTAGACCAGGCTGGTCTTGAACTCACAGAGATCCACCTGCCTCTGCCTCCCGAGTACTGGGATTAAAGGCCCATGCCACTACTGCCTGGCTGCACTTTTTTTTTTTTAACAGATTCTTTACTTAATTTTTGGTGTCCACCTCCCCACTTTTTCGAGACAGGGTCTGTTTTGTTTTTTTTTAACCATCTCTTGTTAAACATTATTTTCATTTTTCTTGTTTATTTGCTTTCATAAGCATGGTAGTGCATGACTTTAGTCCCAGCACTCAAGAGGCAGAGGCAGGTAGAGCTCTGAATTTGAGACCAGCCTGGTCTGCAGAGTGAGTTCCAGGCCAGCCAGGATTACATAGATAAACCCTGTCTCAGGAAGAACAACAACAAATACTCCTTTTGTGTAAGGGTTTGTGCCTGAGTGTATGTAGTGCGCTCATATGCCCACAGAGATGGGAAGACTGTGCCCAGAGTTCTTCTAGAGTTGGATCCTCTAGAAGAATAGCAGCTTCTCTTAAATGCTGAGCCATCTCTCGAGTCTCATAAATAACACTTTTTAGGACGATTCATGTGTCTGTGCAGGGAGTGTGCAGGTGACATTCCTGTGTGCATCTGGAGGCAGGGCAAGATATTGAGTCTTTCTTACTGTCTCTCTTTGCTGGGTCTCACTGAAAGAGAATCTCTGCTCTTTCCACTAGGCTAAGGAGCTCTCAGAATCTACCTGTCTCTACTCCCCAAAGCTGGGGTTATAAATATGTAGCCATGTCTGGCATTTTATATCCATGCTGAGGATTTGAACTTACACTTGCTCAGCAAGTCTTCTACCTGCTGAGCCATTTCCCCAGTATCATAAAGATTCTGAACATGTCAGAAAAGCATCCTGCATGTGTGACACCTCTTAGGCACTTTGGAGGCACCTCCAACCACAAAGAGACTTGAGGTCAGAAAGACCGGGAGGCTCTGCCCAGCCCACTATTCCCTGTGTGTCTTAGGATTTTTTGATTCTGCCCACAGGATCAATCCTCCTCAGGCTAGGAAGGGGAGTTGTGGGAGCACAGTTTGACTTCCTGCCTGAGGATGGGACTCTCACCTGTCTCCTCCAGGTGTGGCTTTTGTAGCTCAGCCTCCAGCAGTCTCCTGAGTGTCTTCCAGCATCACCTCTGAGCTTCTCACATTTCCATTCTCTGCAGTCACCCCCACTCCAGCTTGCCCTCCCTCAGTCCCCCTCTCCTCTCCACATGCTCATGGTGCCTTCTCTCTTTCGACCCTAGGAAAGGTCGAATCTTGTTTTGGAATCTTGCCTACTGCCACATTCTAGGGAGTACCCTGCTGGAGGAGTAGCCTCCCTGAAGAACTTGACCAGTGGTTTTCCATTAGGAGATCTCCTTAGTTGAATAATACTGGGACAGTTTCTGCAGGATGCTTCAGGGTTGTCTGGTGCCTAAGCTCCTTTCTCGGTTTTCTTTTTTTTTTTTTTTTTTTTGTTTTGTTTTGTTTTGTTTTTTCTCAGTTTTCAATACATGTATATCTTGTTATGTATTTGTTTACTTACTTATTTTGCGACAAGGTCTCACTAGCCCTGACTGACCTGGAGCCTGCTATGTAGACCAAGCTATCCTCAAACTCAGAAATCCTCCTGCCTTTTCCTCCTGAGTGCTGGGATTAAAGTTATATACCATCACTCCCAGCCACAATATTTCTCTTTTTTGGGGGGGGGGGGCGTTCTCTGTAGACTTGGTTATCCTGAAACTACCTCTGTTGACCAAGCTGGCTTTGAATTCATAGAGATCCACCTGCCTCTGCCTCCCACGTGCTGGGATTAAAGGCGTGCACCACCACCCCTGGCAATATTTCATTCTCAAGAGTGGGAAAAAATTCCAGACACCAGCTACTAAAAAAGAAAACGAAAAAAAAAAAAGTAGGAAAAAACTCAGATACCCTCACTCCTGTGAGAAACACCTCCCTGGTGTATCTGGACACTCCAAAGCAGGTCAGGCATTCTAACTTCAACCTTTCCACCCCAAGATCCTGAGCACAGGTTGAGGATGACCTTGAGGCTCAAAGGAGGTGTTTTTGAGGTTATTTTCTTGGTTGCTAATGGGGTTTAAATTCCAACCTTTTAGGTGAAATAGGTCTGGGGAGGGGACAAGGGGCTGTTCCCTGTTAAAACACCCTGTTCTCTAATCCCCATATTGTTTCTGTGCTCTCTGGTTACAGGCTAGAAAACTGGGGCTCAGAACTATTGGAGGAGCTCTCCTAGCCCTTGGTAAATATCATTGGATGTCAGGGAAAGGACCTGAGTTTCATTCTCCAGGACTCTCCTAAAAAGCACCTTAGTAATCCCAGTGGGGAGAGACACAGAGAGGATTCCTGAGGCTCACAGGCCATCCTCTCCTTATCAGCCAGCTCAGGTCCCTGTGAGGTACTCAAAAGAAAAAAAAAAGTTGAATTGCTCCTGAAGAATGAATGTCCCTGCAAACTCTAGTCCCAGCACAGGAGGCAGAGGCAGGCAGATCTTTGTGAGTTCAAGGATACAAACATGGGACTCTTGACTGTGGGATGTTGAGCAAGCCACTAGCCAAAGTATCAAATAAATCTATAGAATTGCAATAGTAGTGTTCAGTTGCAGGAAGGTCAGCTAAGAGCTAGCAGCATCTGCAGGTCAAGTTAGACCTGAGTCATCCACAATACTACTCCTCCCAGAGTAGATTTATCAGAAGCCCTGGGTCTGCATCCAGGTCACCTGGCAACTGTGCACCCTCAGGCAGGACATTTACTCTCCAAGACTTTGCTTTCCTCAAGTCAAACTAGGGACTGGCAAGAGTGT